GACTCACAGCCAATAGAAACATCTTTTTGTAAATTTTACCATAATGTTTCTTTGAAACTGGCGAATACCAAATAAATGTAAATTTACGACCGGTATCTTAAAATTTCTCATGGGAAATTTACCCCCTCACAACCGACTCATATTTTTCACGAGCCGACCGTGGGCCGGACGATATGGAACATGGAGGCCTCCGCACCCTTTATTCTCTCCCAGGTTGACCGGTGGCACCTCCACCTCCACGGCATGCACGAGCCACCAACGGGCCCGCTCCCTCACATGTTGGAGCATTGTCCCTCGCTCATGGACGTTTGCGCCCTACCCCCTCCAGCCGTCCCCTGGGGCCAGCCGGGCCACACAACCTCCACGACCCCCTTTCCCCTCACCCCCTCCCCTTTTCCGGCTGCCCCTCCGGGGACCCGCAGCGCGAGCGTTTTCATAACACCACGACGTCGAGTTGTCGGCTTCACGCACGCTCGCCCGCACTGTGCTTGGCTCGGCCAGCGTGTGGACACGGTCTTCCCCCTCTTTCCCCTCCTCCTCCCCCCTGTACGCCCTTCCTGCTACCTCCCCTCTCGCCCTTGCGCCTGTCCGGGTAAACTAAAAGCCGGCGGGCTATGGGCACGGCTGGGCCGCCGTGGCCGGGGGGGTCGGGGGGTGGAGTGCGTAGGCGGGGGTCAGTTTGTGGTCTGCCGCAAGCGTGCGCACGCTTGCGCCCGTAAGGGAGGAGGGGCAGGGGGAGGAGGCAAGAGAAAATATAAAAAGCAGAGCATTTTTTTTTCTATTTCCCTATACATTCTGAAAAAAACCACACGACTCGCCAATTAAGGCTCAAGGGGCGAACACAACAAGCGACTGGGAACGGTCGGGATAAATAATGAGAGTATGGGGCCAAGAGGGGGAGGGGGCAGTCTAGTGCCCTGGCCAACACTGCGGACTGTTGGTATTTCATTGTGGACTGGTGACAAACAAAAGAACGAGTCAGTTTTGCGTTTGTGCTGCTGTACAGTTTTTTTTTCACCGATTAGTTTCACTTCATGTTGGTGACAGCTAGAAAACAGGTGGTCTGCTTTCAACACCCTTGGTCACCACTCAGGAAAACACAAGAACTGTATGAATTTGTATCTTATATACAAAGTTAGGCAGTCAAAATTTGTCGCCAAAAGACTTATTATCTGTGTTGATAAGATCACTTGTACACATTCTTGTGTACGAAACCATGCAATTTGGTGCACAAATTTGTGTATTTGGCTGAACCGTCTGCACAAAAACATCCAAATGCTCTTAGAGACTTTAGAGTTAGCTGTACAAGCCACCGAATATCGATATTGGTCGCTTCGGCTCACTGCTGTGGTGCAGGTACACAGCGCCGTGTCATTGTCCGTGGCCTCGTTACCCTAGGGGGACTGGAAGCCGATTGGTATCAGCGGGAGGGAGGGCCGCCCCCCAGGGACCGTCGCTGCCTAGCCCAGCGGCAGACAGACTTCCAATTAAAAATCGGCTCAAGTGTGTCTGCTCTTCTCTCTCTCCCCCCCCCTCTCCCTCTCCCTCTCCCTCTCTCTCTCTCTCTCTCTCTCTCTCTCTCTCTCTCTC